GAGGGGGTTTGGGGGGAAATGAAGGGGTTTGAGAGGGGGGAAAGAGAAATGAGGAGGTTTTGAGGGAAAACGAGGGGGTTTGAGGGAAAACGAGGGGGTTTGAGGGAAATTAGGGGGTTTGGGGAGGTTCTGAGGAGAAATGAGGGGATTTGGGGAAGTTCTGAGGGAAAATGAGGGGATTTGAGGGAAAACGAGGGGGTTTGAGGGAAAACGAGGGGGTTTGAGGAGCTTTTGAGGGGAAATGAGGGGATTTGGGGAGGTTTTGAGGAGAAATGAGGGGATTTGGGGAAGTTCTGAGGGAAAATGAGGGGATTTGGGGGGGGTTGAAGGAAAATGAGGGGATTTGGGGAGGTTCTGAGGGAAAATGAGGAAATTTGAGGGAAAATGAGGGGATTTGAGGGACACGAAGGGATTTGGGGAGGTTCTGAGGGAAAACGAGGGGATTTGGGGGGGCTTGAGAGAAAATGAGGGGATTTGAGGGGAAAATGAGGGGATTTGGAGAGGTTTTGAGGAGAAATGAGGGGATTTGGGGAGGTTCTGAGGGAAAATGAGAGTATTTGAGGGAAAATGAGGGGATTTGGGGAGGTTTTAGGAGAAATGAGGGGATTTGAGGGACACGAAGGGATTTGGGAAACTTCTGATGAAAAACGAGGGGATTTCAGGAGGTTTTAGGGTAAATAAGGGCATCTGGGAAGGTTTTGGGGTAAATCAGGAGGTTTTGAGGAGAAATGAGGAGGTTTGGGTGGGCTTGAGGGGAAAATGAGGGGATTTGAGGGACATGAAGGGATTTGGGGAGGTTTTGGGGTAAATCAGGAGGTTTTGGGGAGGTTTTGAGGGGATTTGGGGGAAATCCAGAGGTTTCGAGGGGCCTCAGGTGAGATTTGTGGGGAAATAAATATTTTGGGGCTGTTTGGGAGAAATTCAGGAGGTTTTGAGAGAATTCAGGAGGTTTTGGGTGAAATTCAGGAGGTTTTGGGTGAAATTCAGGAGGTTTGGGGGTTTCTGGAGGGATTTTTGGGGGGAAATCAGGAGGTTTTTAGGCTCTCTGGGCCTAAATCTGGGGAGCGATTTTGGTGAAATTGGGAGGTTTTGGGGTAAATTCGAGACTTTGTGGTGAAATTGGGAGATTTTGTGCTAAAATCAAGAGATTTTGAGGTAAAATTGGGAGATTTTGTGGTAAAATGAGGAAGTTTTGGGGTAAAATTGGAAGATTCTGTGGTAAATTCGAAATTTTTGGGGTGAAATCATGAAGTTTTGGGGTAAATGAGGAGTTTTGGGGTAAAATTGGGAGATTTTGTGATAAAATCAGGAGATTTTGGGGTGAAATGAGGAGATTTCGTGGTAAAATTAAGAGACTTTGAGGTAAAATTGGGAGATTTTGTGGTAAATTAGAGATTTTGGGGTGAATTCAGGAGGTTTTGGGGTAAAATTGGGAGATTTTGTGATGAAATCTGGAGGTTTTTTGGGTAAAATTGGGAGATTTTGTGGTAAATTTGAGATTTTGGGGTGAAATCAGGAGATTTGGGGATAAATGAGGAGTTTTGGGGTGAAATCAGGAGATTTTGGGGGTCACTGAGGAAGCCCCGCCCCCAATTAATGAAGCTCCGCCTCTTTTCAGGACCCTGCGCTCCCCATTGGCCCGCGGTCGGTGACGTCATCGCGGGAGGCACCAATCAGAGGTGAGGGGCGGAGTCAAGAGCATCGCCACCACCCAAATTCCGGTCTGGGATCCCAAATTTCCGTTTTTTCCACCCAAATTTCTGTTTTTTCCACCCAAATTCCCGTTTTTTCCACCCAAACTTCTGTTTTTTCCACCCAAATTTCTATTTTTTTCACCCAAATTTCCGTTTTTTCCACCCAAATTTCCATTTTTTTCACCCAAATTTCCATTTTTTCCACCCAAATTCCGAGCTCCCCCCCAAACCCCAGCGTTCCCACGCCGAGATTCAGCTTTGATTTCCTCAAATTCCAACTTTTTTTGACCCAAATTCCGTTTTTTTGGGGATCCAAATCCCGGAGTTTCACCTCAAATTGGTTTTTTAGCCCCAAATTTCACCGATTTCACCCCAAATTTCCATTTTTTTTGGCTCTCAATCCCAGGTTTTGGCCCCAAATTCCAGGATTTTACCGAAAATCCCATGATTTTGACCCAAAATCCCAGGATTTTACCCCAAATCCCCGGATTTTAACCCAAATTCCAGGATTTTATCCCAAAAATCCCAGGATTTTACCCAAAATTCCAGGATTTTACCCCAAATTTCAACTTCTGACCCCAAATTTTGTGTTTTTTCTCCTTTTTCGGGCCTAACTTCACCCTTAATTTTAATTTTATTAAATTAAAACCGCATTTTTTAGGGCGAAACCTGATTTATTTTAATTAATTTAATTAACTTTATCGAATTAGAATTACATTCAATTAAATTTTGTTGGTTTCAGCTGCTTTAACCCCAACCAAACTCAATTTTTTTGGCTAAAATCTCATTTTCTCACCCCGTTTTTAGATTTTTAATTCAGCAGAATCCTCTTTTAATTGCGAAAATCCGGGATTTTGGTGAAAAACCTCACAAAAAATGTGAACTTTGAAGGTTTTTTGTCCTTTTTTTTGTTTGAAATTCGATTTTTTTTTGTGTTTTTCTCCAAATCTGGAGCCAAATTTCCTCCGAAACGCAAAATTGAGATTTTTTTCCCAAGTTTTTCATCACAAAAATGAAAGATTTGGGGGAGAATTTTTCACTTTTTGTGGTTAAAACCTGGATTTTGAGGGGATTTACCCAGAATTTGGAGCCGAGATTGGTAAAAAATGGAAATTTGGAGAATTTATTTCCTTTTCGGACAATTTTAACCCATTTTGGGACAGTTTTAATCAGTTTTTTACCATTTCAATCAATTTTTCCACAATTTTAATCCTTTTGGGACCATTTTAATCCATTTCGGGACATTTTTAATCAGTTTTTTTATCATTTTAATCAAATTCTACACCATTTTAACCCATTTTGGGACCATTTTAATCCATTTTGGGACAGTTTTAATCAGTTTTTTTATAATTCTAATCAACTTTTACACCTTTTTAATCCATTTTGCCACCATTTTAATCAGTTTTTACACCAATTTCAACCATTTTGGCACCGTTTTAACCCATTTTGGGTCAGTTTCATCCACTTTTTCTGGCCTGGCGTGCACGTTTTGCCCTCACAGCGCCGTTTTTAACCACTTTGGTGCCTTTTTGTTGAATTTTTTTCTATTTGGCGGCGCTCCGGAGCCGCTCGGTTCCAGCCCCGAGCCCCGAGGGCCTTTTGGGATCATTTCCTGCGATTTTGGGGCATTTCAGCTCCACTTTCTCCCAAACCGCCTTTTCCGAGTGGCTTTTTCTCACCCCAACCGCCTCATTCCCAGCCCTTTGACCCAATTTTACCCGATTTTACCCCATTTTTCCCCATTTTGCCCGATTTTACCGGATTTTTCCGGGTTTTTCCCCATTTTGCCGGCTTTAACCCCATTTTTTCCCACTTTTCGGCCCTCGCACCAAACCCAGCCTGGCTTTCAGCGCTGCCTCCTCTCCCTGCTCAGCGGGGCTCTGCCGATCCCGCCGCTCTCCCGCTTTTTTCGGGTTGAAATCCCGCGGATTTGGCGCTTTTTGGGTTGTTTTTATTTCAT